GTTTTAACAAAGTGATAAACGTTTGAGACCTGCATCATTTCGTTGACACGCCGTGATTTAACTGGAATACTGTACAAAACCCAACTCATTCACTCACTCACTTTATGAAATCGTGAAATCAAAGAACAGGCAGACAAACCATGAATCATAATGAGGGGAATCTCGGATTCAAACCCACAAGAGTGTCTGTACTACTAACGAGTGGGTATGGTTTTACGCCGCTTTAAGCACTATTCCAGCAATATCACGGCGGGGGACACCACAAATGGGCTTCACACATTGTACCAATGTCGGGAATCGAACCCGGGTCTTCGGCGTGACGAGCGAACGCTTTAACCACTAGGCTACCCGACTGCCTCGGGCTACTAACGAACGCAACTTGCGGTGGCTCAGATTACACGGTACACCACTCGGACACCCGAGGCCAATTTATTGACTATTCTCTTGTTTATTGAAGTTTCTCTTGTATAATCTACGTTTTTACCGATGAGATGAAAATATGACTACGCCATATTTAAGAAACCCCGATCTGCTTCAAACAAATTGAGGGGTCTCAAATCCCATGTAACATACTTCAAATAAGGTTTATTAGTTTTAAATTGACGTTTGTTCGTCTGTTTTCTGTTGATTGGTTCGAAACAGTCAATGTCAGGCAGGGTAACAACAAGCTACTCTTAACCTCTTTTGGTGTGACGGGGCCGGGGATCGATCACCCGACCTTCCGCTCTCCGGGCAGACGCTCTAACCAATGGACCACGGAGGCGGTCGGATGATATTACGCGCCGTCGGAGTATGACGAAACGTAATCAAACGAGGCTGACCACATAAGAACTGAGTTCAAGGGGCCTTTTCTAATCAGGGTTCCCATAAAGTTTTTGAGTAGTAACCATCATGGGAAACGAACCCGGATTCTCGTCGTGACTGTGAATATCTTTTAGAACCATGTTGGGTTTGGTGCCATGTTTGGACTTTGTGTTTGTGCAAATTTGAGTAGATGGTTTAACGCCACTGTAAACACTATTCCAGCTATGCCACGGCGTGTCAGCTTAATGTGGGAGGAAAGCCCGAAGTGATGCAGGTCTCAGCCATTAAGCACTTTGATGAAACGGTGCGACATTTAACGATGACGATGATCATGATAACTTCATGATGCTACAGTGTTACTCTTGGCCACAGATACGTGCGCAGTCCAGTTGCTTTCTCAGCACCCTGGGGAGTATACAAAAACCAGTGAGTTCGGTTTATCCGGAGTTGTGTGTGTAAGTTTGACTGTTATGTGAAATCATCAGTAAAACAAACCTCCCCTTGTCCCGAATGTCAGACCCATAACTGTCACGCAGTTCGCTTCTTTCATCTCAAGCACTGCTATTTCGAAACATGTTTATCTCGAAGTGGATTGACCATTTATACTCTGCCTTCGGATATCATAGACCTTTAACATACCGATGTGTCACAACATTTCAACCACGAGAAACAAGGCCCAATTTTTATACTCATTATCATGCTGGACATTGTGCTCTCGGAGAACGCTGTCTCGTCGCGCCGGAGGCCTCGTTTCGAATCCACACAAGGGTACAATGCGTAAAGGCCATTTCTGGTGTCCCCCGCCGAGATACTGCTGGAATATTGCTCAATGCGGCGTTAAACCATACCAACTCACTCTTTCAAAACGTGGATATAGTATAAATATTTTGCACAAAAAAATGTTTTGCGTCACGAGGCATGTACTGAGCCTAACATCTATTTTTGATAACGATCATTATTCGTTTATTAATTTTCACATATTTTGCGGCCATTAGATGATACATCGTCGTATACCTAGATAATGTACAGATACGTTTCATTTAAGAAAACATCATGCTATTGACGTCATCACTCTGGCTAGAAGCATAAATTATATGGGTTTTGATTGAAACGTCATAAAAATATTTTATATGGCTTTGTCTGAAAACAATGGTTATTACATTTTTCTTTTCACACCAAATCTGGACTATAGGAGACAAATATCCATTCCAAATAATATAATTATCCTCCTAATCAAAATAGCATCATGAGATAGCATCGTGTTCATTGCAAGTATATGATTTCTTCCTTTGTCGCACCGGCCAATCATTTAACGCCGATCGTTATTGAAATATCATCATGATTCTCGTGATTAATACCAGCAAAATTGGATTCGCGCAAGTCACATTACAGAAATAGAAATCATTTCTTTGTAAAATATAATATGTTTGTCTAATTTCGCCAATTATTGAATCATGATGGCTTGTCAATCATTCGGCGAATTTCGATACCCACATTTTGTTCTATAAACGTCTAATCTACAAAACACATTTCTCACTAGTCGGTGTCATGTTGTTCTCGCGAGACTTGGACGAGAGCGAGATCAAAAGATTCCACGTGGGACATCAAAGTGCGAAACACAAAATCACCTTCGACTAACAAGCGAAAATAAACCTTATCACCAGAAACCGCTGGGCTTAAATGCGTAACACAAATTTTCAATTTCCGTTCTTTGTCTAAGTTTCAAATCTCTTATTAGAAACCTATCATCATGGACCCCCTGCTGAGAACAGACGTTCCTAATGTCTCCTATTCTCGATGGTCGTCTGCTCTTTGGCCGCCATATTGGCCAAATGTCCACCCCTGCCGTGAAAATCCATTCTCGACCAGGCAAGGCGTATTTAGGACCATGTCCGAATCCCACTATCGAATCTGTACACGGCAAGGGCAGAAACTGCCAATTCTCTGGTTGTTCAGCTGTCACCATCTTTAATTAGATAAGCCATGATATATGGTTGTTAGGAAAACGTTCTGTGTATCTCACGGATGAGATTAGTGGGAAAGAAAATAGCATGTGCATGTCATCCCCATTAGCGTACAATTGAGAGATGCTCAGAGTTCTAATAATGACGTCGAGTAAAGGCAGCAGATGGCAAATTTATGTCGAGACAGAAACTCGACACAAATGACTAGAATGTTAATATTTTGTAAGGTCGAACGATTACCTAACTATAGCGTCACACGTTTGGAACAAGCTGTTTTCGTGAATCAAATCTTACTCATTAGATCATTAAATTACATTGATCAAATTTCACATAAAGACTAATTTCAACATGTTCACGATTTAATATGTTTATACGCTTCTATTCGTTTATTAAACCTGTTCACCTCATCGGATGAAATATGCGTAACGTAACGGAAAATCCAAAGAAATGGGTTTTGACAGTCTTTGGTTTTTCACATATAAAAGTCATTTAATGTAAATTAGAGTTTCTAGATTTGAAAACTTCGATCAATGTTCTACAAAATTAAATTAAATTTAAGTAAACATACGTTTTGTGCACTTACGAAGTATTTCAGTGACGTTTAGAATTTGAAATTCAACTAAACATCTATAAACGTTTAACTTTTGGTGAAGATAATTCTATCTGCACAAGGAACACGTGCTGGGCGTGTCATCGTTTCACGGCGGGACATGATATTCCACGATGTTAAATTGTTTTTGTTGAGGATGCGTCCGTTACACCGTCACGGTCACTGAAATAAAAGCAGTTTGCATTTCAGGCTCAGAGTAAAGACATAACTAGATAAACAACTAACTTCAGATTCAATTGAAATGTCATCTCCGACATGTCATGGATGGTAGAGCTGAGGTGCATTAACACGTTATCATCACTTTCTCAAACCTGGGATTAGAAACCCAGTTGTACCTTGAATCAATGGTTGGGTACCACCTGTTTACTTTGTGCGGACAAGCATCGAACAGGACACTTTGGACCGCTGAAGAGACACTTATTTTACAAGCGGGTTATATGGTCCATGAATAGGATAATTTATTAGAGGTTGTTCTGTTTTGCAAATAAATGAAGATTTTATGTGAAAAGCAGATTTGGTACGAATATTTAAGAATTTATTTTTTTTTGTGACAATTTTCTGAAAACCGGAACTACAACATTCAATACCAATGTCATTATTAAATATTTAAGATAGAAGTATGCATTACAAAGAGATTAATTCTGTAAGTACTTCGGTGTAATTATTATTGAAGTATTACATATACACTGATTTTCAGTGATCCATTTTATAATTTTCACCGCCATTTTGACTTTTATGACCACAGAAATCTCTTTCGGCGGATAATCCAGTCTGTGTATTCTCTGGTGTTGACGTTTAATATTCACAATCCTAAGAATGACAATGTTTTAATATCTATATATTGTTTACATTTCGCGTAATATTAAGCAGGAAATTATTGATTTAATCACCCGCTATATACATTAGCCAGCTGTATAACCGTCCTCACTCCAATTATGATAAAAAATAGTATGAAAGTTAAAAGTGTACTATGAAAAAGTTTGTTTTGAAATTTCCATAACTTTATTCAAAACAAAAAGCATGTTGATGAAATATTATTTCTGCCTGTAAATAATTTTGTTAAAGTTTCCTTTTCTATGCATTTCAAAGATAGCTGTGAATGGTATTGTCTTCAATCGAAACGTACGTAATCTAATACCGAAAACAAAAAAGTTTTCAAAAATAAACCGCGGACAGAGATAACGACTTGCTCAGGCTTAACTGCACTTTTTATCAAAGAAAAAATTAATAGTTATTTCTTTTTCCAAGAAGACAACCTAACATGTTTATAACTATTTTGAAATGCGATAAGAAATAAAAAAAAAGGAGAATGATTATTTCGAACAAAAAAACTATCCTCCCGTTAAAAATAACGATTTCCTTCACGCAAAAAAGTACTATTTAAAGTATAGAAAAATTATGGGTAATTTTCCAGACGAAGTCATTTTCGCCCGGCCTCCGTGCAAGGACACCTCAAGTGAATATTGGATTACCTTGCTCGGCGACAGATCATTGTGAATAGCAATCTAGCCGTGTAATTTTAAACTCGGAGGAAGACACATGGTATATATACAGTTGAAACTAGTTCGGTCATGACTCAAACTAGCATGCTATCTCATTCCCCCAAGCTCGGGACGGCCAGATAATTGCCCTTTCATTGAGTTTTATGAGTTTAAATGTGCCGCCGGGATTGGCTCTATTACGTCACGTGACCACAGAATCGGGGAAAATTACGGCCCTGTTCTGACGTTATAGGTACTAAATCATAGATTTATGCCGAAATGTATGGCCCTTGAAAGCCTATATGGCTGGCAATGATTCCTGTCCCAGTGTCCGTCTCACAAGCCTTGAACACAGAAGGTTATAGCTCCCATCTCTTGCATTTAGGAAAATACAAAACTCCTTCCAGTTTTATATAAAGAATGGATGGGTATATTTTCACCGTGTGCTTTCTAAAAGCAGGATTACGTGTTAAAGCGAATAGGGAGCGAATTAGAAGGTGAAACGTGTGTGGTTGATGGATTATCGATTTCTGGTACGTCGGTGGATCTCGAAGAAAGACTTCATCGGCATGGAGTCTTAAAAGAAACGGGTAAGTGCATGGAAGCAGATTCCAGAATAGTTAATGGCGGCATTGAGAGGAGAAACCAGCTTGAGATATCGACAGAGCGAGATACTGTACAGTTCCACTCTTGTACCTCCGACGAAGGTCGAAGAAAACACGCCACGCGCTGTCAACATTCGTGGCTCTACCGACGATAGAACAAGACGCGCTCCATTCTGCTGCCGAGCATCGCGAATCTGTTCACTGAATTGTGTTCGGTCAAGTGGCCAGTCGGTCAAACGAGTTTACTTAAGTATCGTCTACTACGGGACTCAATAACATCGCAAACATTTCCAAGTGAATCCCGACTTGACACCCCACCATCACCCCCCGCGGACGTTACAATGGGTCTCGTTCAGGCCAGTTCGTCCGCGACTTCACCTATAGTAATATCTTCTGACCTCATTCTCTTACCACGTGTGAACGAAATTATCATAACGGATGTTAGTGAACGTATATATTCAGATTCAATCTCTGTACGCTGATGTTAGATACAGGAAAATTCAATCTAGGCTGTACTCGACGGGCTTTTCCTTTATCGTATTTATCACCGAATTTATCATTATGACACACAGCCAGCATACCTATGTACCTTGAAATACTAACTGACATTTTTGGCGTATGAATGATTTATACGTTGTAAGGAGAAAATAATATAAATCTATGAGAGTAGTTGATCTATATTTTGTTAACTAACAAATTCTCTTGTTCAGAAGAATCAATGTTTAATTGCATTTTACTTTACAATTTAAATGTCGCGTGACGATTTAGTGTCAATACTACATTAGGAGTTTATAACTTATTTAAATCTTAAAAGTTATTTTGTATTTGTGATCATTCGTCTTAGATTCCTTAGAATATGAAAATAAATGTCAAATGTTAAATGTCACGGTGTTACGCATTTTGTTTCCTTTTATGTCTTATTGGTCTAAATTTGTAAAATGATACTGAAGCAAGCATCATATTCATAATAACACTATTACCGGAGAAAAAAATATCCATGAATTTCATCGCTGTATTTATTTTAAATTTTCGATATTGGCAAATAAATTTCGCCGATGACAACATGATTAGCCTAAACAAACAAGGACGCTAAATCCAAGGAATTGATTTAATACATGATATCCATACATAGATTGATGAAATAGAAACTTATCGGTTTGTTAACTCTATATACATGCTTAGATCGATGTGTGAGTGTAATCAGAGTATATCGCGTTATGTTTATTTATCATATTATAACATTTCATGCAATTATCATGACATTAACATAGACTTGTCACGACACTAATAACGATAGTGCTAATCTAATGACCTATTGGAATGAACACAAACATATTGCTATTTCTGTTCAGTGTCTACATGGGACGAGTTGTGTATCAACTTTTCAATGAAGAGTTAAATTTAAATTTCGAATAACGAATCAAAATTGAATTCGAACTTTCTGCCAGCATTACAAGAACAGGAGTGTACTCACATAGTATGACAAAAATACTAGCTTTTATTTGTCATATATGTTTTACGAGAATACACGAATAAGTGCCTTTCAATTTATCGATTAAAACATGATCGATTATTAATGAGAAAGCTTTAAACGGATATGGAACGTTGGGTATTTATTTAATGGTTGTACTACATTAAGATAATTTCTTTACATGTGGCATAAATGAAGCGTTAAAAAAGAATTTAAATATTTCATGTGATATTTGTTAAATAGAAATTGAAAAGAAAACACTCTTACTCACCAGGTAAGAGCAAAAGTCTGTCGAAATAACATTGTTTTTGTTATAACAATGTCATGACGTTTTTCCTAATTATCATAAAGTAAAAAGATGAAATTACATACTAATTTTGTGACACAAAATCCTAACGAATACATTTTAGCAGATTTTCATTGCGCTAAATACCATTAATAGGCCGTTATGGGCCGTTATATTTCATAAGTTCACATTTAATGTGCGAACAGCCTCTGCAATAGGCTATAATGAACGAACTGTTTCACTTTATGCTGTAAATAATATCAAACCCATTGTTTGAAACCTGCCTTTGGGAGCATGCTAATGGTTACATGACGTGATAAAACAACACATGTGCACGTTATTTTGAGGCTGAGGCAGTTTATTTGCTCGGTTTTATAACTTTTCGTCTTGGCCCAAAGGGAAACTAGTTCAGAGGCAACGTTTGCTTTCGAAGCAAAAAACATGTTCGAACGTAAACAGATTCAATTTCAAACATTTTTATTAGACAGGGGTTTTCTGGTTAAAAATATCTAAAAAATCATGTACCACTTATTTCAAATAAACTAATGAAGGACAATTATTCTTTGGTTACTGTTCAAATGTTAGTGTCTTATTTCTGTTTTTTTTTAATACGGTGTAATTGGAGTGCGACATAAAAAACTCCTGTATGTGAATTAAGACGATATTCTTAACGACAGGATGCAGTAGAATACCACAAATATCACCTATCAATTTCCAAATCAACTTGGAGAGACATAGATGTAGCTTCCTTAAAAACATCATTTCAAAAATAATCTTAAAAGTGAAACATCTGCTTTAAAGTAACTTTCAACAATCTTTATGTTCAATTCTTGTCAATGTATGCCTTGTAAAAATCTATGACAACCAAATTTAGCCAAGGGCGTTCAACAAAAAATACTGCTCAAAATAACATTGGGACATAAAAGATGTGTATGGTTTGGACCAAACGCATTGCTTCCGTATTCAAATACGCTTAGTATTGAAGTCACTGGCTTTGTAGTATTGTATTACCTTCCTATTTTAGAAGGAACAGTGTTCACGGGATTTAACACATTTTCAATAGATTCCAACTACTTAACAGAACCAATTTAGATCCCCATATGCCGTCTCATTTCAAGTGGACACCCAATGACCACTGACCACTCAATAAATGACCTCTGGAAAATATCAAGTTACTTTTCTACTCATTAACTGCGTGTCCATATTTTCTAACCCTGAGCGTAACACAAAGTGAACAGTATATCATATACTACACAATATTTGATAGGGATACGTCTGTCACGAAATAACTGAAATGTCTTTCAAACGTTGAGTAGTATATATAGTTATTTTCATTGTTGCATTATTCGGTTGTGATACTCTGTAAAATATATGATGATATAGTGAGTGAGTGTTTGCTTTAACGATGTATTGTTTGTTGATATGGACAACAATTTCCTTACGGGCATGCGGATATTCATATCTCGGCCACAGTAGATATTAAAATAAAACTGAATCATAAAGTTATTCATGATACCAGGTGTTTACGAAACTTTAATTTCCAATATTCCACAGAGAATCCTCTGTCGTAAACATTTGTACTCACAGGGTATACTTTCCAGCCCAAAATAAACTAGATGCATTAGAAGGACGATTGACTGTCTTTGTGAAAACTATTCCCTTATCCTAAGATAATTCTTATATTCTACCTGTTTATACAAAAAAACGCTTTATATACCACTCAAACGAAGTAAAAGAACACCCGATTTTTCATATGACCATCGTTAATCTGTCATGTCGATTTTTTCATAAGACTCGTGTCATGACAGAGTAACTACAGTAAAGTACGGTTATAACGAACTCAAAGGGACTACTAATTTTAGTTCGCTATAACCGTAGTTCGTTATAAGCATATATACAGCATAACTACAGAGTAACTACAGTAAAGTACGGTTATAACGAACTCAAAGGGACTACTAATTTTAGTTCGTTATAACCGTAGTTCGTTATAAGCATATATACAACATAACTACAGCAAATAGTCGGGACCAAAAAAGTAAGTTCGTTATATCCGTAAGTTCGTTATAAGCGTGTTCGTTATAACCGCAGTTTACTGTATAGTCAAAAATGAAAATTGTGTTCCTTCCTTACTTCTTTTGAGTAGAGTATGTAAGAGAGAAAAAAAATGACATGGGTCATAGACGTGTGCCCACCCGCAAAACTCTATAAAAACAGTTTTGGCAAAATAAGTTCACAGTCCATGAGAATCTGGGATTCGAACCAATCAACGTAACACAGGAAATTAGCTTATGATCATTAATGTATATTTGTCTATCACGTGAGACATACAGTACTCCTTGCATAACATGCCATACTTTTATTATGACCAGTTTAGTGTATATGGCAGAGCCAACTCTCGTTACCACGAACTCAATTAACAAAATGGCGATATATCTGTTTGACAAGTGAAATTCTTGAAGGCCCTGCCATGTAATAGCGTCATTCCTCTTGTCTTGAAGTAAGGGAAACTCGATCGTTTTCAATAAATCTTTGAGTAAAATGCATACAGTCGACGGACCGACACGACTATAGTTTACACCTTTAATTGAATTACGCTAATCGTGTCCCCATTATATCCGTACTCGACAGTCGAATTTCTTTTCACTAATCGTTTATCTCGAAATTTCGTTTATTTCGAAATCACCCAAGTCCTAACTGCATTTGGTGTTTATATCAACCCCCAAAGTACTATAATCTGTACTTTATTAAGAAAGTGTTATCCCAAATTTGCCATTTGTTCAAATATCATTTTCGTATTTACAAAATCGGGGGAATCATATTGGACCAGTTATCTTCGAGTAAACAGGAGTTACCTTGTCGTGCAAGTTAATATACAGTTGTGTTCTCTCCCCATGTAAAATGCCACGATAACGCCTTCTTGGCAGCACAGCAGTCTATCACCTGTCACTGGACTCTTCGTGAGATGTACATTCTGCCTGGGCTCACCTGGTATACCAGTGGTATGGATGTCTTTCACCGAGATTAGATACCACTTGGCATACCAGTGTGTGTATTAACAAGAACTGTCCCTCTCCCGTCAACATCCATCTTTATCTCACACTCACGAGTGGCATGCCTTAGACTGATACTCCAGTTTAACATTGTTTAATCCTGGATTTGTCGAAGTGTTGTTATCTCGAAGTTTTGGTATGTCGAAGTTTTGATAACTCGAAGTAATACCTCTCCGTG